ATATATATATATATATATATAATTATTAAGTCTTAAATATCAATCTTTTATTATATCAAACTTTGTGATTGGTTCAAAATCATTAAAAAAAAATATGTAAAAATATGGATATAATCATGAGGTGTATTAAGAGAATTATTTTACCATAATACATATCAGTTTATCTTCTACATATATTCTCATAAAATATTTATATTCATCAAGCAATAATTGAGTTGTTATTTACATTGATATAATTGTTGAATATTTTTGCAATTTTCTTATATTAGTTCGTGATATACTCATTTGCAACATTGGTTAAGAACCTCATTGAAACCACTTTTTTCCTACATGTGATTGTAAAAAGTGAAAATAATAGCTAGTATTATGATCCTTCTAGATATATAAGAGTCTGATTGATTTGTTATTTTTTTCATTTCACTTGTTCAAGCTTTTTAGATTTGTTTTAGACAGTTCATAGTTTGGTTTATTTATAAAAAAATCCTGAAAATAGAAGTTTTAATAAAATTATGTAAAATAAAAGATATTTATTATATTGAATTTCATATTTTAAATATAGGGATGGAAAAGTCTTTTACATATATCAAATATTTTAAAAAATCAAAAATCTAAGAAAAAAATGGGTTTTTAATATTTAGAGGATAACACCTCATTATGTTTGGTTTCTTCTTTAAGAATTAAAAATATTAGAAAATAATTTCCAAACTCAATGCTAAAAAAGAAAAAAAAACACAATAGACCGATCAACATCAACAAAAACTCATATCATATTTGTTTTCATGAATGACGACTCAAATCAACAAAAAAACAAATCACATCCACAAAACTGAATAAAGAAGAAGAATTGGGAGCTTAAAAGAGATTATTATGTTAAACAATGTTACCTTATTTCATCAAAGATTCATATGCCACTTTATCCACACAAAAAATAAAATAAAAATCATATGCCTACATAATTCCAATTTTAGTGTGAATTCTCCGACTACGAAATATTGTACTTACATAAGCAAAAACTCATACCACGATTAGTCTTATTGAATGACGCCTCAAATCAACAAAAACGCAAATCACCCCCACAAAATTATAACTGAATAGAGAGAAAGAATTGAGAGATTAATAGAGAGATTCATATGTTTGTATAATTCCAATTTTAGTGTGAATATCTTCAATTAAAAGACGAAAAATACTATACTTACATTAACAAAAACCCATATCATATTTCTCTTATTGAATGACGCCCCAAATATACAAAAGTGCAAATCACCTCAAAAACTGAATAGAGAGGAAGAATTAAGAGGTTTTTTTTCTTAAACAATGTTACACTATTTCTTCAAGGATTCATATGTCACTTTATCCACACACAAAAACTCCATATGCCTACATGATTCCAACTTTAATGTGAATATCTTCGATCCAATTTTAGTGTGAATATCTCCAATTAAAAGACGAAAATACTATACTTACATTAACAAAAACTCATATCATATTTCTCTTACTGAATGACGCCTCAAATAAACAAAAGTGCAAATCAACTCAAAAACTGAATAGAGAGGAAGAATTGAGGGGTTTTTTTCCTTAAACAATGTTACACTATTTTTTCAAGGATTCATATGTCACTTTATCCACACACAAAAACTCCATATGCCTACATAATTCCAACTTTAATGTAAATATCTCCGACTAAAAAAAGAAATATTATACTTACATAAGGAAAAAATCATACTATGATTTGTCTTATTGAATGACACCTCAAATCAACAAAAATGTAAATCGCATCCACAAATTTATAACTGAATAAAGAGAAAGAATTAAGAGATTAATAGAGAGATTATCATAGAGGTATACCACAAAATTATACATGAATAGAGAGGAAGAATTGAGAGGTTAATAGAGATGTTATCATAGAGATGTACCACAAAATTATACATGAATAGAAATGAAGAATTGAGAGATTATTATAGAGGTGTACCATGAAGAGAAGATGAAAAATTATAACCGAATAGAGAGAAATAATGAGAGTTAAAAGAGTACTTATTAGAGGGAACATAAATAGGTTGAAACAACCTAATTAAAGGATCTTAAATATGAATATGAAACATAAAAAACAAATATTAAAATAGGAGAAGCTTGAGAAAAGGAGAAAAAAGATAAATCATTTTCTTGTTTGGAGAAGATGTCACATCATTGCATGTGGTTTTTTCTTTAATGTGTATATAGATTACACGTGCATCACAAAGAATAGTACTCTGATTATCGATTAAGTGGAAAACTTGTAACTGAAAAACAAAGAAGCATTTATTACAAATAACACAACTTTGATAATTTCGGATTTGGAGTTGCAGCAAGACAATCTTTTTATGATTATAAATAAAAAGAATTAGATCACGAAATTAATAAAAGTCATCAAATAAAAGAGTAATATGCATATGTTGGTTATACCAACATTTAACATTTTACAACTTTATTTATATCGCATGGCATTCTTAGTTTTATCAAACCACAACTCTTCAGGTGTGATCCACTATCATTCTTCTATTCATGAGTGTATGTGTGTATATACACACACATGAAGTATCGTTCGGGAATGAGAGTTAAAGTGAATAATGTAAGAAAGGATCTGGACAGTTGATCACCTTTCATCTCAAACCCACCTATGGATTGCGCTTGATACCGGAATTGATCTGGTGCATTTCATCTCAGTGCATCTCATTCTAATGTGCATCCAAGGGTGAAGATCCCTTCTTACGCTTCTCACCTTAACTCTTTTTCTCACTGGAACTCAACCCTATGTATGTATATGTGTGTGTATAGGGTTGGGGTTCTCGGTGAGAATTGAAGTTGCGATGAGAAGGGTAAGAAGGGATCAATCCTGATTGAAGATCAACACTAATACGGTGCACTAAGATGCACCTGATCAATTCTCGTGAAAAGTCTAACCTTAACTCCTATTCTCACACAATCTTTCATTTATATATATATATATATATATAGAGAGAGAGAGAGAGAGAGAGGGGGTGAGGATCAAACGAGAACATGTGAGAACACGAGAACAGCCAAATGACGTATGATTTTGCATTGAAATCACATACGATTACAAAACACGGTCAACGCAAGGGTTTGCGGGGGACTTGTCCCTTGGTCGTGCAGAATCACATGTCATTTTACACGTGAATTTAGTTTAAAATCATATTTTATTTGGTTACCTTGTTCTCGTTTAAACCCCACTATATATATATATATATATATATATATTTTCAATTTAATCATGTTGGATGAGACAAACATTCAACATTGTGCCATATGCCCTCTAATCAATAACAAAGAACTAAAAGAAAAAGACTCAAAAACAGAATGTCTGAAAAAGGGAAAGTGCATCTTTTTTAGCTGCATCTCAATTGCTTCTGGTTGAAGCTGGTTCTTTCTACAAACTTTTTATAACAACTGCTAAACCAAACGAGCTTAGTATATCCTACCCGAAAGTAGGGTTGGGGTGAGATGTATATAAACATATCCTATATACTAGAGAGAGGACCTCTGCTATAATGCACCAATCAATATTAAT